AGCTGAGACGTATATTCTAGACTATAGCTCCACTATGTGTGAGCAATTTAGTCAGTCGTATCAGAGAAAGAGTCTGGGGTTAAATCTGCACGTATATACTTTATACGTATATACGTATATACTCCGTGGTGTAATAGATATGACACTCGCCATGATAGCAAGAGGTTGCTGAATTCACTTTATTTCATACAACTGAATAAAAGGAACTTTTCGTTGAAGGGCTATGTTTTATACGATTATAACACCTTGTTGCTATTTGAGCACTGTAAGTATTATCAATTTGAATGTATTATTATGTATATGTGTGTGTACATTATGTGAATAAGGCAACAATTATGTTTACCACGACTTTCTTGAGCAGACGGTTTGCTCTTCTATCATAGACAGCGATGGTATTGTCCTCACTACCACTTATAATGTAGTGCTCATCAGCTGATAGGCATAGCACTGGTTTCTTGTGATAACGAAGTTTGGAAATTAGGGCATATCCATCTAAAATGAAAAATACAAACTGGAAATCATTTACCAAGCTGTGTTAAACAATTTTGATATCAGCATTTTCTTCCAATTCACAAAAAAAAAAAAAAAAAGATTAACACATTTGAAATAAGGTATTTTAAACAATAATTCAGTGTGCCTGCCATCAGTATGAGATAAGATGTTAAATTTCATCTTAAAATTATAGATAAATTTTTGACTGAAGTAAAGTAAAAGATTAAAGAAAAATTATGTAACTCAAGTATGATAAATCCAGCTTCTGTTCCTGAACAATACTGGAGTTCCAGTGCAGGTACACTTACCTTTTCTATCATATATGTAGATTTGCTTGTCATACGATCCAGCAATAACCACATCGTCTTGCAAAATAGAACAGAGAAATGCAGAGTTCCCCCTAGAAAATACAATACAGTAATGATCAATTCAGATGAATAAAAACTCTATTATACCACAGAGCTGTCATAATGTATATGACTGCTTCCTGATTATAAATTACACCACATTTTTGTAAGAAAACTATGAACAACTATTATAGATATAAACATACAGTAATGGTATAATTAGAAATCCCTGATATCTACAGTAAGAACTACTATGAAGTCGTGTCTGCATTTTGTACCTATTAAATAATTAATGGGGTGGAATATATTTTGGCCAATTTTAAGCATTTCTGAGAAATTTCAGAACTTCAGAATAATAATAATAATGCCAAAGATTTATATAGCACCAAGTCCAACAGAATGATCAACAGCTTTGAGCAAACCAGCACAAAATGCAACCAATGCATTAACAATTTATTTTGGTCAGAGTCACTGCTCACAGGGGACTTGGTCTGACTAACAGGGGGTTTAAACCCCTATCCCCAGCAGTGCCATTTAATGTCGTAGCAACTTTGAGCTCTCGCTAGCTAAGCCAAGGCCAGGCCAGACTTTCCGCTGCAATTTTGATCAGCATTTTTTTACTTTGCTCCAAATCGGATGAGCTGAGATTTTTAAGGAGCAGAACATGTTAAAAAAGTCAAAATATGCCTTTAAAATGTCAAAAATGCTGAAGCGGGGATGTTTCGTGCCCACTGGGCTCTCTACACAGACCCAGCCCCCCCTCTAACCGGAAGCCGCCATTGTAAATCTTAAGACAACTAGTGATCACACACAAGTAAACTTACTTTGCACTACCAATTTTTTGGAAGTCTGCTTCAATATCCCAAAAGTTCATCCAGCAATCCCATGATGCAGAGCAGAGTATGTTGCCTAGAGAGGTCAATGACCACACCCAGCCCTAGTTATGGAGAATGTACATTTGAATAAAATAATAATAATAATAATATATCCTGTATAAAAATACATTGAAAACCTCTCTGCTTGCCTTAAATACTGTTTTATGCTGGAATAATTACCATATATATATTTGAATACCTCACTTTGAATATTAATAGCCCTCCCTCAACCTTACCTGTCAAACTAACTCGCTCACTAAAGCATCATTTTGAATAAATTCCCCCACCCCTAAAATAAGTGCCCAAAGTGTATATTTTTCCCCTGATTAATGCACCCCCACCCCCACCAAATGACTGTAAACAAATCTAATGGATGCAACATCATTCTCAATGCATTCTATTAATGTTCTACTCCAGTAAAATTACATCTTCTCTCCTGGTAGGGTTCAATAATATCAGGCATTAACAAATTTCAAAGGTAATTATGTGTTGTAGTTCCACATTACAGACAGACAGACAGCACTAAATACATAACCTTCTTGGCGGAGTAATATGTAGATTTGTATGTGATTCAGTATTGGTGCACTAAAATACCTAATTTTACTTCAACATAACAGAACCAGGTCAGAAACAAAATTTTGTTAGACAGGAGAGATATTTAATCTTTGTAAAATGAACAAACCAGCATAGGATTATTGTTGGCTTGGCTATGCCAATTCAAAGCTTTGTGAAAATTTGCCTAAATATTCATTATGCATTTAAACTTTGCTAACTTGAATAATTACTATTAGTCAATCTTATTTTACATGCCAAATTGTTGATGATCCGTAAGTCAAATTTTCCCCAAGTCAAACAATTTTTCAATGCCATTTTGGATTCGACTTCGGCAAGTTCAGCTGTATACATCATTTCATCTTGCTGTTGCTATGCTTACCTTGTGTGCTTGGATTGATTTTACGCATGCACTATCCGCCTTTAAAGTCTTGTTTAACTTCCGGAGATCCCAAACTTGCATGGTACGATCACGGGATCCAGATATACATATGTCACCATTCTACCAGATATATAGTGTCAAACAATCATCATAATATTTAGTGGGGTAACGATGGGGCAGGGGGGCCCTTTTGAGTCCCGGTCTCCAATTCAATTGTGGGATTTTAGGTGTTCCTCTTTTTTAATTATGTTTGTCAATGTATTCTAAATGTTTTTAACAATGAAATAAATAATATAATATCAGCAGCAGATCCAGGAATTTGAAAGAGTGGGGCCCAAGAAAGGACTTTCACAGATGGAAAGTCTATACCACTTCAGCCAAACGATGGCTGGGGAAAGGTACAATGACTTTGGCACCTCTACTGTAGGTGGCCGGAAATGGCGCTCACAGACTTAAAATTTGAATAAAATCTCTTTCTGCATTAAAAAAAATTTTTTTGGACATATTTAGGGCCCCTTAATCCACCAACTGGATATATCATATGATATATGTCCTCAACAATGTCCTTTTGGGTCAGGGCCGCACGAGAGCGCATAGGCGTTACGCTACTGATAATAGTGATCACTACAGTATCATCAAAATCAGCATTATCATAAGCAGCATCACCATAATCAGCATCGTAATTATTATCATCACCATCAGCTCCACCAGCTCCACCATCGCTGCTCCGCCAATATCCTCACAGCTTTTTTTATACTTATAACTACCACCCTAATTTCAGCTTTACCTGCAACAAGCAAACAGCATCTACTGATGCAATATGGCTGCAGTTGAGGGAGTAGAACTCCATGTTGTCTTTATAGTTCCTCCATAGTAATAAATCACGCTCAATTTCATAACATGCCTGGCCCCAATCAAAGTCCCTGTCATCGACTGTATTATAAACAAAATGTTAGCATTGTTTGTGAAAGCAAACTAAATAATAATAATTCATCTACGTTGGTATACCATACCAACACCATACTTAATTGGATACTACTGTACTAGTACTCTGCTCCTTGAGAAGTTTTTCAAATTATAAATGTAAATTTAATTCAGTCAGGATTGATTAATACAAATTATTTACAAAACGTAAAGTAAACTTTTATACGGAGAGGCAAACATAGACAATGTCTTTTCCCATGGACACAGTGTGACAATTATTGATCTCAAATTTGCCTTTTATCGTATGTCATTAAATATTAAGAAGGTTGTGTTTGTAGTTTAAAGGGAACGGTAAGAAAGATAAGGAACATAAGAAAGGAAAGGAAAGAAATTAATTTGGAATGATAAGATGGTAAATGGAAAGAAAGATAAGAAATATAAGAAAATAAAAGGAAAGGAAAGATAAACTAAGGATAAAAAAGGAAAGGAATGATAAGGAAACATAAAAAAGAAAGGAAAGGTAGACATGGAAACATTAGAAAGGAAAAGAAAAGAAATGATAATAAATATAAGAATGAAATATGAAAGACAGATACGAATTATAAGAAAGAAAATGAAAGGAAAGATAAGGAATCTAAGAAAGGAATGTGAAAGATAAGATAAGGAAACATAAGAAAGGACAAGAAAAGTAAAGATCAGGAACATTTGAAGGGAAAAGGAAGAAAGACAAGAAGCAAAAGGGAAAAACAATGAAAGGCTTTGAGATGAATAGGAAAGTAACAGGCCTTGAAATGATTCCAATTACCAAAGCATTGTAATAATAACA